TCAATTTGTATCTCCTTAGGAGTACATTCTAAGAAATACTGGATTGAAGGGAATTTATTTTTTTTCTGTGATACATTTCTTTTTTATTAACTTTCATTATTTTATTATAAAAGTAATACATGTTTATTTTATAAGAACTTAGAAATTAATAAGTAAACCAGAAATAGCCATTGGTCAGTCATCCATCACCTAGCAATAACATTTTTCTAAGCATCCTAAAGAGTGTACCTTCTCACCCTAGCCAGTATGGCTCAATGGATGGAGCGTCGGCCGGCATACTCAAGGGTCTCTGGTTCGATTCTGGTCGGGGCACATGACTGGGTTGTAAGCTCGGTCCAACATGCAGGAGGCGGCCAATCAGTGATTCCTTCTCATCACTGATGTTTCTATCTCTTCCTCTCCTTTCCTCTCTGAAATCAATAAAAATAAATAAATAAATAAATAAATAAATAAATAAATAAAATTTAAAGAGTGTACATTCTCAGAGCTTTTGCTACAAACTATTAGATAATTTTCCAGAAAGGATAGATTGCTTTAGGCTTTCCCCAGCAGGAACAATAGTACATTGTCACTTCCTCTCACTGAAATGAGTTTGTGGTTTTATTTAATCTTTGTTAATATGGTAGGTTGGAAATAGTGTTTTATTAGTGTTTGGGCTTGCATTTGTTTCATTGTTTGTGAGCTTAATCAACTCTTTAGACTCCTATGAAAGGGCAGATTTTATATACCATCATCTCCAACATCTTAAACAGTATCCCTACCAGCTGCATTTTTGCCAGAATTACATTTTTTTTCCTAGTAAGGTATAGTTTATACACAGTAAAATTTGCTTTTTAGTATACTGGTCTGCAGGCTACACATGCCACAATAAAAATATAGGGCAGTTGTATTGTACCAGAAAATTCTTGCATGCTCCGTAGTAGTTAGCCCCTGTCCTCTAGCTTCAGCCCCTGGCGACTGCTAGTCTGGTTTCTATGCCTGTGTGGTGCCTTTTGCAGAATGATGCACAAGAGGACTTGCTCAGTTGACAGCCTTTGGACTCTAACTTCTTTCACTTAGCATCATGTCTCAGAGGTTCATCCTTGTGGTTGTGTGTATGTGTTTGTTCCCTTTTACTGCACAGTAATATTCCATGGTACAAATGTACCAATATGTTTATTCATTTACCAGCTGAAGGATACTTGGATTGTTTCCAGTTTTTGGTGATTATAAATAATGATGCTATAAACGTTTGCCTACAAGCTTTTGTGTAATCATTAAGTTTTCATTTCACTTGGGTAAATACCAAGAGGGGAAATTGCTGGGTCATATGCTAAGTGTATCTTTAACTTTATGAAAAACTGCCAAACTGTTTTCCAAAGTGACTTTACCACTCATCACAATGTATGTGAGTTCTGGTTTCTTTATGTGCTCACCAACACTTGGCATTGTCAGTTTCTTGTTTGTTTTATTTTTGAGCCATGCTAACAGGTGTAGTGTTATTTCATTGTGATTTTCGTTTGCATTTCCCTAGTAGCTAATAATGTTGGTGATCTTTTCATGTGCATTTTTGTGGTCTGCATATCTTTTTTGATTATGTGTCTATCCGACCTTTGCCCATAAGTAATTGGGTTGTTTGGTTTCTCATTAGAGTTTTGAGAGTCCTTTTTATATTTTGGTTATAAATCCTCTCAGATACGTGATTTGCAAATATTTTCTTTTAGTCTTTGGCTTGGTTCTTCATTCTCTCTCTCTCTGGCTTATCTTTTTATCCTCTTTTGAAGAGTAAAATTTTAAACTTTGATGAAGTCCAGTTTATTGAAAAAAAATTTTTATTGTGCTTTTGGTTTAGAAAGCTTAGACTAACCCAGGGTCACAAAGATTTTCTACTCTGTATTCTTCCAGAAGTTTTATAGTTTTAGGGTTTATATTTAGGTTCCCCTTCATTTTCAAACACTATTTTCTTGGGCCCAGAAATTTCTTTTGGAAAACAATTCCAGAAACAGACAGACCTACCTGAGAAGATTTGGGATAGATGGTCCTGGGAGCCTTTCCACGCATGGTGCCACCCAGGAACGATCTGAAGAGCAAATATCAGCATCAGAAGCTGCCCCAGGGGTAGCTTTTAAACACATATGAGGCTTTCCTGGCTTAAGACTTGGCATAAAAGTAAAGATTATATCTTCTCAAAGGAGGTCCTGATGATAAGAGAAAACCCTCTAAACTTTCTAGATAATTCCTCTGACTGCTGCACAAAATCGGGACAGTGAGTGGTGCCAAGCACAGGGCTTTGCCAATTACATGCAAACACCCATGTCAGTGACTCACTCAATCACACTTTAATCTTATAACTGAGAGGATTTTAAAAAATTATAGTCAACAAGGCAGCTTGCTAGTAATGACTGCCATTGAAATCGGGTTTTCCTCAGAACAGCTGGAGTATAATGAGGTGGGAAGAGAGCCTGATGTGGATACGAGGCCAAGGATTGCTTGCCTGGGAAGGACGTGCAGCTAACGTTTGATAGAGATCTGTGAAAGGACCAACCTCAGCCAAGCAAAGTAGAGGCCTGCCATCTTTCATCCATGGGAAAAGGCTTTGCAGCAAAAACACTCAGAAAACAACATTGATTGTCGGCTTGTGTCAGTCATTGCACAACAGATTAGCCGCCATCTGCCAGAAACGCCTGGTCCTGATCGTGATCCTTGCTGGATCTGAGGAGCCAGAGGAGATTCCCGTCTTAGGAAAGGAGAGCAGTTGAGAGCAGGTTGGGAATGGCTTTTCCAAGGATGTTCCAGGCAGAACAGTGGGTTTGGTATGTCTGGAATGTGCAGGCTATTGGCATAGCTGTGCCATAGGAAGGGCTTACGGGGTGGCCGGGAAATGTCATTAGAGGTGTAAGTAACCAGGGCCAACCTAAGTACCTTGTTTGCTTTGCACTGAAATATGAGTATTTTTAATTCAACTTGCTACCATTGAAAGATTTTACACATGCGAGTGATGGGATAGGACTTTCGTTTTCAAAAGTTCTCTCTGGAAGCTCTATAAAGAGAGAATTCAAAGGAGTCAAGGTGAATATCAAGGAAGCCAGTTGGGTAGCTATAGCACTAATCCAGGAGAGACCCACTGGGCCCTGCCTTGAGATCATACAGCTGACAGGAAAGCCTAGACAAGGAGTACTGACAGGAAAGCCTAGACAAGGAGTACTGAGGAGGTGGAATCAGAATCTAGGAAGTGGAGATGGGGCATTTGGATACTCCCGGGTTTCTCTGACTGGGCAGCTGGCTGGTTATGCTGCTACCCAGGAGAGTCTCCCCACACCCTGGGAGGAAGAGCAGACATGAGGTGGGGACCCTGGGGTACATTGGGGTCATTTGGTTAAAGAACCCACGAGACAGGTGGCCATGGAAGTCTGGTGTGCCTCTACCTCTGCCATAGGTTTCTCCTCTGTTCCAGGTAAGTGAGCATTTCTGGAAGCACGAGTAACATGTGTACCTTCCAAAGTACAGTGAGTAGGACTAGAAACAAGATAAATAACAGTGCAAGAGGCTGTGGTGAGCACACACAGGACTGAGGAGCAGCACGTGGCACAGCTCTGTCATGTGTCGTCGTCCGTGTGTGTGTCGTTCCCCCCCCCCCCCCCTTCGGTGTGAGCAAGGACGCCAAAGGAGCACTTGGGGCTGCTTGGGGCTGGAGGAAAGCAGCACCATTAGCTCGGTCCTGCTGCTGCCCTCCACCTTCCCTCCTTCCCTCTTCCCAGCTGAGCCCTCTCACTGGTTTAAAAAAATACACACAAAAAACAGTGAATTCACTCCCAGTCCTTTTGAAACCCAACATGTCAGTGATAGATGAGGCGGTATTCATTAACTTCAAAGGAGAAAGAGTGAGTGAGTGAATGTGGGCCAGGGGAGTTGAAAAGTCCAAGGGAACAGGAGACACATGGGGTGACCCCACCATCAGGAGGAGTGCCCTCAATCCCACCCCTGCTGGTGCCATGCAAAGGCACAGACAATGCCACTTTTAATAAATCATGAAGGATCCTGAATACCCATTTTTGTCTGTTTTCAATGGGCCCTGGGCATATTGCTTAAGATATAGCCAGCTATTTGTGCTGGGTTCCCAGCTACTCAAAGTGCTCTCTCGACTATATAATGGAGTCTTTGCATGTTTGATTTGGGGGGAGATTTCTTCAGATTTCTGTAGCTAGTCATGATAAAGGTGACATCGTGGTCAGTGCGGGCCATTGTCATCCTTCACACATGCAGCCTTTGAGTGAGGCTGAGCTTTGTGGGGTATCCATGCAGTACCTAATTCAATCACATCTGACCCTTGTCTCTCTTTGGCACTGTCCCACTCTCTGTGCTCAGTGTGCTGCTGGGGCCTCTGCACAAACCCTTGCTGTCCTCTGGAGGCATTGGTGCTAAACTGAGAGCCCAGGGCCATTTTTTCCCACTTTCAGAATTCTTGGCCCCCTAGTGACACTGGCATGGGGAGTGGCTGCTTATTCTCATGAGGGTGTGCCCATGGAGATGCCTGTTGGAAGGGCCTTTGAAAAGTCTCCACTTGTTTCCACGGTGGAACAAAGGAAAGAATAACCTGGGTCATTTAAGGGCTGGAGTGGTCATTTTCTTAATCGTCTGTGACCATTAAGAGCCTGGTTTTCTATAAAGAGACACAGCTGACTCCCTTGGCTTATTATTAATAATAACAAACAGCTAGGATGTATGGAGTACCTGCCTCTTGCCAAGTGCTTTCATGTGTTACCTTATTCAATTCTAAACCTTATACCCATTTTTACAGATGAGCAAACTGAGACTAGGGTTAAGTAACTTGACAAAAGTCACATTGCTAGAAGTGGCACAGCTAGGATAGAAACAGACACTGTGCTCAGCAAGGGCTTGCTTGCCAAATTGTAACATGAAACCAAAGGAACATCTCTTCTGAGGCTTCCATTTTATAGATGAATTGACATAGGACTAGACATACATTGCATATGACTTCAGAAATATAAATTGGCTCTATGGTGCTCTCTTTGGCAGCACATATACTGAAATTGGAATGATGCAGAGAAGATTAGATGGCCCCTGTACAAGAATGACATACAAATTCATGAAGCATTCTGTATTTTAAAAAAAGAAAAGGAAATTGACTCTATGAACCCCCAACCCATTTTTTTCAGTAGGATAATAATAGATCCTATATTAATTGTAGTTTTTGTTGTTATTGCTTCTTTAATTTGTTTTCCTTCCTGCCACCCATTATTTTTACTAGCTGACTGGTATTTCTTCTCTTAGCCTTTTGCATACCTGTGAAGCCCTTGGCTCTGGTTCTGGTTTTATTACTGACTACCTGTGTGACAGAGGGATGTCAACCAGAGGGCAGTTCATTGAACTGGAAAAGTAGAACCAGCCCATCTCTCTCTCTCTCTCTCTCTCACTTGCTGTCACTTGAGTGGGCTTACCTGGCAGGACACTAAATGAGGCAGGCCCATCCACCATTCACTTCCTCCAGTCCAGCTTCTCCACCTGAAACCGGGCAGGTTGGTCTGCTCAGCCTCCCCACTGGACAGAAGGAGTCCCCACCTTGTTCTTCACTAGTGCCTTTGCCAGTGAGCCTAGGGAGAATGAACGCCCTTTGCTGTCCTTCATCTGTTGGATTCTAAATGAGAGAAGTGAATTTTGGAGCCCCTGTTTGTGGGATAAGAAATTGCAGGTGTTTCCCAATGGGAAGTGTTACATGGATTTGAATTTCATTTCTGGTTCTGCCAAGTGTTGCCTGATCTTGGGTAGGCAAGTTACTTTCCTTCTCTGAGCCTCAGTTCCTCATCTTTAAAACGGAAGTAGTGATACCTGTACACATGAAGTCCTTGGCACAATGTCTGGTTGGGTATGGAACTTGTTATTGCTATTACTTATTGCAGAGCCCTATATCACCTGGAAATCTTTTATTTAATATAGGGAATCACCAAAAGTAACCAATTGGGAGCTTATAATCTGTAATAGTTAGACAAATAGAAAGCTACAGACATGTTACAACTTGAGGATAAATGAAAAGAATCAGACCACGATAGAAGCAATTTTTTTGTATCCGGACTGTCAGAGCCAGCCCTCTGCCTTGCTCTAGCAGGTCGTTGTGGCCTCTTCCTTTCCCAAGGAGAGATTTACTGACAAGTCGGTGTCGGTGCAGAGGTACTGGGCAGCCTCCATGTTGAGGCATCTGCCAACCTTGCTGGCGCCTCAAAGATTCTCTTTTGAGAAGTGAGCCTTGTGTAGGGCACAGCAGCCCCCCTGCTGATTGCTGCAGGAGATCTGGTCACCAGAGAATACAGTGGGGCTGCCCTGTGATAGAAGCCTGTATCAGCACAGCCAGACAGCACTATAAATACCCGTGGGGCTGTCCAAGCAGGCAGGTGATGCTTTAAAGTATCATGTCCTCCTGCTGAGTGCCACAGTGCTTCTGCACATGGAGAAATGGCTTCCAAAGTGCTGCTGCAGCTCAGGTTTCATGGTGGTCCTACTTGGAACTGTGAAGTCCCAGGCAGTGTGTGCCAGTGTGTCGTCTTCTAAATTGTGATCTCAACTCATTATAAGAAATAAGCCCAGGCCTTATTACATCAGGAACATTTACATAATGTTTGCCAGAGCCAGGTTCTACTCTAATTTGGTTTTTCTCATTTTATTTTCACAACAACCGTATGAACTAGGTACTACTATCCCCATTTTCCAGAGGAGAAAACTGAGGTACAGTAACTTGCCTGGCTTACTAGTAGACAGCTAACAGGAAGTAAAGCCAGAATTCAAAATTATACTGCCCAAAGAGACTGCACCTTTACTTCTAATTTGTGTGGCCTCCCTGCATTGATACTGTGTATAAGTACACCTTGCATTTTCTTCCTTATACAGTAGGCCAGTGTCCCAGGAAGGGCTGTTACCGCAAACATAGGAACTCATAGGAAGGGAATCTGGGCAGTCTAATGGGCAGAAAGTTAGACCAGAGCATCCCCAAATCTCTGCAGAGCATAAGAATCTCAGCCTGGCCCTGAATCCAGCCCAGACCCCTAAAGAGACTATACAAAGGTCTAAAGGAAAACAAGTTTCTGCTCAATAAAAATGTTCCCCTAAAGTTACTACAAAATGATTTTCAATTATGTTTATTATTCAATGATTCTCTATATACCAAAGCTGATTTTTCTGGTAGTAAGGCAAATAGAAATGCTATTCATTTTCCTTCTTACTGGATCCTGACATTTTTTAACACCCTCAACTAAACTCTTTAAATTTTTTGGTTTTAAGTTGGTCCGAAGGTTGTGGGTTATTGTTAAGCTGATTAAATTTTTTTGGTTTTACATCTCTACTTAGCTGTAAACTTATTTTGTACTTCCTTTAAACTTCACAATACCCATATATTCTTTGGTTTTTATCATAATTAGAATGGTATCTATTAGCCGAAATCTATTTGGCTCAGTGGTAGAGCGTTGGTCTGCAGACTGAAAGGTCCCAGGTTTGATTCCGATCAAGGGCATGTACATTGGTTGCGGCACATCTTCAGTGGGGGGTGTGCAGGAGGCAGCTGGTCGATGTTTCTCTCTCATCAACATTTCTAGCTCTCTATCCTTCTCCCTTCCTCTCTGTAAAAAATCAATAAAATATATTTTAAAAAATGGTATCTATTAGATTGATAAGTTGTTCTATAAAGAAAATGGCTACTTAAATTATTTTGGATGAGAATAGGAACCTGAGGTATGGGCTTCCAGGTGTGGGCCTTCTAAGCGTCCCTTCCAGATTGTTCTGAGCAATTCGGATCAATAGGGATTTTGTGCCTGGATGAAAGTAGACAGCTATTATGCCAGGAGGTGCTGCTGAGCCCACTGCCTCAGGTTGTAAACTGAAGTCAGATTGCAGGAGCAGGGGAGAGGGGCAGGCAGACTGGCTGCCCTAGGACCAGAAAGGCTCTTAGAATATTGTCCTGGTATATATTGTTCAGACATTTGACCTTATCTGAGAGGAAGGAAGTAGAATTAGCATGAATCATGTCACGAACTTTGTCAGTTGCTCTTGGCCACATAAGACAGCATTAAGTAGTAAAATTCTTAACTATCACTTATTTCTCATTAAAACATCCAAAGATGGAAGCACTGGTCAATCTGAATCCTCGGAGCTTCTATTCTCAGATTTAGCAGGGGCATATTACAAGTGCTTTCTTCTAATAAACCTAGACAACATCTCACATTTGTCCATAAAACAGACCTCAGCAATGGCCAAAGAGGAACTCGGCTCCATGTTACAGGTGGGAAGGCTAAGGCCAGCAGAACCCCAAAACCACCTTGGAGTCTGGGAGAGAACAGCGACAGGCCCAGCAGTGCTGGCTCCCAGTTTGGGGTTATATAACGCTCGAATCCTCAAGTCCCTAGAAACTGAGGCCAATTCCCTGGAAGATCATTTTGTTCTCTTCTGTTTTTTCAAGAGTAGCGCCAGCCTGATTATGGCTCTGAGGATTGTACAAGACCATCCTGTGTTCTCTCTTCCATGAACTGAATGCCTACCATCATACTCATTGTTTCATCAGATTGTATTCAAGTTTGCCTGAATCTCAGTTTTACATTTGGATTATATTTTGAAGACCCTTATTTTATTTATGTACATTATCAGCCATCTCCAAAAATGGTTTGAGAACACTTAGAACAAAGGAAATGACCCATGAAATGAATACAATAGAAAGACAATCAGGAAAGGAGGCAGAAGGATTCTGTTTTGTGAGGGAAGGAAATTTTCATAAGGTTACTTCTTATAACAAGCCTCATTCCTAGCTCTCAAAGCACTTTTGCATGTAAGGCTTAATATTGGGGACATTAGCCGGGACCGGTTTGGCTCAATGGATAGAGCATTGGCTTGGGGACTGAAGGGACCCGGGTTCGATTCCGGTCAAGGGCATGTACCTTGGTTGTGGGCATATCCCCGGTAGGGGGTGTGCAAGAGGCAGCTGATTGATGACTCTCTCTCATCGATGTTTCTAACTCTCTATCTCTCTCCCTTCCTCTCTGTATAAAATCAATAAAATATATTTAAAAAAAATATTGGGGACATTAAATGTCATAGTGGACAGATTTTTACATTTATGACAAAAGAAGAAGGAGGTTTATAAGGCTATTTCTTAAAACAAACTTTGGTGAAAATTGAAGGATGATTAAAACAGCTCGAGGACCTGGTTGGTGTTGCTAGGAGATCACAGATCAATTCACGGTTAGGGCACATGCCTGAGTTGCAGTCTTGATCCTCAGTAGGGTGTGTGCAGGAGGCAGCTGATCGAAGATTCTCTCATCATTAATGTTTCTATCTCTTCCTCTGCCTTCCCCCACCGAAATAAATAAAAGTATATTTTAAAAAGAAAAAAAACACTCAAGGAAGGCAAGTGAGCTGTGAGCATGCTCATGACCACATATGTATTTTGCCTTATAGCCTCACTTGCTTCCAAGAGAAGCTTAGAGCATCTCCTTGTGAGGCTGGTGGCCTTTCACCAGGCTGCTTCCTCCCTGCTGGGTGTGGAGTAGAAGCTGGGAGCAGACCCTGATGCTGGAGGCTCTGCAAGGTCTGCAATGGAGAGATTTTCCACTGTGTGGGCAGGGCCTCAGGCTTTAGAAAGCAGATAGCTAGCTGGCAGAACTGATACCTTTTAAATGCAAAGGGACCCAGAGGACATCTCTCCTCTGTGGAGGGGCCGGGTGCCATCCGCACAGTTAGCACTGGCCCTTTCCCATAGAAGCAGCTTTGGGCGACTCCAGTCCCTGAACTGTGGTTGATTTGAAATGGTCCCAGAGCTCTGAGCTGGCAATTTCCCAGCACAGTCACCCTTGCTGGCCATGAAAATCATCAAAAATGCTTCAGCTGTGGGTAGGATGAGCAGATTAGTTGCAAGTCTCTGCCTTTATGGGTGACACACACAGACTTGCTCACAATGCTTTGTAGTCGTGTCAGCCAGAAATTTGATGGGCAACAGTGTAGCCCAGTGACCAGGTAAGGCCTCATCAGGAAAGCTAGGCTGTTCTGCTAAAGGAGACCCAGGGAGGGGAATGAGCTCTTCTGGGCTGTTCTCACTCAGTAATAGAAGCAGAAGTAATGTGGGGCAGTGGTCAGCAGAGCCCTACCACCCTGGCCTTGTTGGTGAGCGATGAAGTGACTCTCAGAAGAGGAGGCAGCCTGACAGGAGGGCAGGAGAAGCCAGGCTTCTCTCCTGGGACTAGCTTGTTGACTGAAGCAAACAATAAACCTACACGCTAAGCCTCTGAGGCTCCTAACTGAAGAACAGCCTTTCGTATGGGTTGACTGTAGCTCTGGAGACAGGCGGTTTTCTTCTGAGCAAATTAAACCTCAGCATTGAAGAATCCTTGTCCTGTCATTTTTAACCGTAATGAGAATAGAACGAGCCTCTGGAACAAGGTGCGATGGAGTCAGAAGTGGCCTTAAGTGAAAACACAGCTGTGGGGTTTACAGACGGTGCGCGGGGAGGCGTCATCCAGTGGGAGCGGCCAGCCTCACTATAGACTTTCCAACACTAATGAATCGGGAACTCCATGCTGAACAGGATTGAGTTTGATGGGTCCCTGTGCCAGCAGATGGATGTATTTTTCTTGAAAAACCAAGGTGCCAGCAATCTCCGTGATTACGTTACTGGAGCAAGGTTCTTTTTTGTGGTTTGTGAAGTTGAGCGTCAGGACTGCAGGATTCTCTTGCTCTTTCTCACTCTTATTTTTTCCAGGTCAGAACCAGAGCCTGGGGTGGGGAGGAAAATCCTGCTGAATGAGCAAGTTCTTTCTTAAAAAGCTCTCTCCAAGTCCAAAAAGACTTCAGTGGACTTAGGAGAAAGAAACCTAATACATTGCCATAGAATCGTTGTGAACCAAGTGAAAGCCAAGTCCACAGCATCTTTGTCTTATAAAAGAAAGCAAAGAGGAGATGGAAAAAAAGAAATAATGCTTAGGAAATCCAAACCAAACAAGGAAAACTAAAGAAGAAAAACTAAAGATCACCTCAGAGAATGTGAAGATTTCCTTCTAAAAGATTTTTCAATTACAAAACCAGGCTCAGGTAGAAGTTACTTTTCTGTTCTTTCTAAGTACCATAAGTGGCATACCTGAAATGTTTGAACTAGGACGGGGTTTGCCACTTTCAGCTTGAGGGAGAGTTGGACACTCTGCAAGACTAGTGGACTGTGTGCGGAAGAGTCAACCATGTAGCGGCTGGAGACTTCCCAGGCTGGTCCTTGACCCACGTTTGAACCTTGGTCCTAATAGCTAGCAGATTGAAGCAAGCTCACAGGCCTCCCAGAGAACCCATGTTGGTTTGAACTTGAGCAAGCTTGGCCACATAATAGCACTTTTTTTTTTTTTTTTTTTTTTTTTTTTTTACCAGCTACCTCTCTCAATGCACCCCTGTCAGAGGAACTCAGAGCTGGACCCCCAAGGTCACCCCTGCTCGATGATGGAGCAGCCTGCAAGTACCATCCAGGCCAAGGTCAGAGAGAGAGACCTGGTTGCCCACCAGAGTTCATCTTGGAGCTGTTGTGGACAAGACAGGCAACTAACTCCTAGACTTCTTAATGCATGTTTTGCCCACCCAAGGGAAGGCCAGGTGTTTTCAAAAGCAGCAGAAGCTCTGAGCTGGTACCTTCCTTAGCTGATGGAGTTTAGTGCCAAGTGGCCTGAGTATAATGTTCTTCAGTAATGTGACTGTTAGGGAAAGCCAACTGTGATGTGAACAGATTGAAGACTAACTTGTTTATGAGCCCAGGGCACGCCATGCCTAGCCACACTTTCCTGTCCCATCCCGTCCCTCTTTTCTGGTTAGCCTTATGAATGTGATCTGGCCGTTGGCTTCACTGGATTGGCCTCCAAAGTAAGGTCGTATTTCCTTTAATGGTTATATTCAATGACCCATTGAATATATGAATTTACTCCTGCTTAGCCCAGGGCATTTGTTCTTTCCCTTAAGTTTACCTGAAGGGTCTTCCTCAAGCAATGTCTGAGAACCCTGAGGAATGCTTAGTCCTGAATCAGTCATTCTTGTTGCTCACCTATTGCTACCTGCTGGGAGGATGGCCCTATTGCCTCTCTTGTCCTCACCCCACCAGCCCTCTGCTCCCCCGAGGGTCCTTCCTTCTACTCACCCAAAAGCCTCAGCTCAGCCACACTGCCAGTGTCTTAGGGGCCCATGTTTTAGCACAAGAGGTAGTCAGAAGGGGTCCCAGCAGGAGTCTCATACTCTTGCTGTCCTGAGCCTGCCCTCCTTGGTGATTTAGCATGGACCCCTGAAAGTCGAAGACTCTTCCATTTCCTGCCTGGGGAGATGGCCTGTCCTTTGTCCAGAGAAAACCTTTAATCAATTATATCCATCTAAAGGCCTCCTTCCTCTGCTGGAGGAGTGGCCTGTGACTGCCCTGGGGTTTCTTCACTGCCTTCCCTCCTCAGTCAGCACCAGGAATGCCCTGCGGTCAGAATGGTCTGATTGATTGGGGTGGACTCTTCTCCTGCTTGACGTGGCAGCTGCCTCTGGAAAGGGAAAGACAGATCTCAGGACATCTCATAAGACTTTCCAGGCTTCACCTCTCCATGGATGGGTCCCTTCAGGCCCTAGTTAGAGCCACATGGATACAGATGGCAGTCTGGCTCATAGGATGCAGTCAGTAACTACTGATGAATGAAGGACTGTGTGTGTCTCTTCAAAGGCACTGGTGAGAGGGGAGCACCTGGCCTCTGAGAGAATTTGAGCCACTGCTTGTCATCTGGTGGCACAGTTACTGAATGGGGGTGGATGTGAGATAAAATTTCCTTACTGAAGCAAAAGGAGGAATAACAATCTTGATTGAAATTGGATGACTAAAGGTCTGTTGGACCGGATCAAAATGTGCCCAGGCGCATAGCGGCCTGCAGGGGGCATGGCTGTGTGTGTGTAAATCAATGACTGGAACACCTTGGTATAAAGGACTACACTCCAACCAACTGAGCCATGGCCAAGGCCTACTGCAAAAGGGGAGATAAAGAGAAAGGGGTTATATTTAATAGATTTTTTAAATAATTATTTTTTGTTTTACTGAAGGAGATCTGGGAAGAATCAGCAGTGCTCTGTAGGGAAAACACACCTTGAAGTTTCTGGCTTTGTGATGGTAAAGAAGGGCTTGTTTCTGGTTTTGTATTTTCATGTGGGTTAGAAAGAGGACAAGCCATTCCTACCAGCTTGTTTCCCTCTAAGGAAGAGAAAACTCATCCAGTGTCTAATGATGCAGATCATTAGCTATGTTAACAGCCTTGCAGTTAGGAAAAAAAAGTTATAACATTCTATCCTTTTAATGTGCAGTTGATTTTAGTGAAAATTTCCCTAGCAGTTGAAAAACCCAGTGAATTTGTAAATCTAGTAACTGACTCTGCATTTGGAAATGTTAAAGCTGCCATAGACACCTGGGCTCTAGCAGGACACACACAACCTCCCTGCACTCTGGCTCCTCAACGACACATATGGTGTTCTACACTCACCACCCACCCCAGCCCCTCTGGGATCCAGAAAGAGAGGCTTCATTACCAGAGTCTTATTCCTGATCTTCCCTACCCAGAGAGAGCTAATGAGTGCCTCCAAGTTAACATGTCAAAAATCAAACTTTTGATTCCCTATCCATATCCAAGTTAAGCAATGGAACAACCACCTGCCTGGCTGTTGAAATCTACATCTTCACTACTACTGAACATCAAGTCCATCCGTATATCCTGTCAATTCTTCTTTTAAAAGTTCACTTCAGCCGAAACCGGTTTGGTTCAGTGAATAGAGCGTCAGCCTGCAGACTGAAAGGTCCCAGGTTCGATTCTGTTCAAGGGCACGTACCTTGGTTGCAGGCACATCCCCAGTAGGAGGTGTGCAGGAGGCAGCTGATCGATGCTTCTCTCTCATCGATGTTTCTAACTATCTCTCTCTCTTCCTTCCTCTCTGTAAGAAATCAATAAAAATATATTTTTTAAAAAGTTCACTTCAAAGATAGATCTCAAACTGTTCATTTCTGTCCATTGTGCCTGCCTGTCCTCTATGCCCAGCCCCCATCACTGCTCACCTGCTCTTCTCAACAGCCTTCTACAGGGCTCCTGCTTGGCTCTCTCTCCTACATGGTAGCCAGAGGGATCTTGGTAAAGCATAACTTTGATCATATCCATCCCTTCCTTAAAACATGTCATAGTCCTTCCTTTGCTATTAAGGTAAAGGTCAAAATTTCTAATGTAGCAAGAAGGTCCTGCTTTTTCTGCCCTGGCCTTCCTCTGAGGCATCACTGTGCACCATGACCCTGTAAGTGAGTTCTGGCTTTCCAGCCATCCTTCAGGTCCTGGAACTCCTGCACCATGGCCTCTGTGCTCTGTGCCAAGGAGAACCATCTGCTCCCCCATCCTTCCTCCCTATGGTCCAGGTAACCCTCTCCTTCTTTTCTCCGTCCTAATCCAGTTATTTACTTTTATAGAAAATGGGAGTTCTTTCTTGCTTCAGAGGACCTATTTTAATTTAAATTTTTTATATCTATTGTCATTAGTTTATGTGATTGATGTCTATCTCCTGCACTGGACTATAAGATCTATGAATGAGGCTGTTTTCTGCCACTGTTCACTGTTCTTTCCCTGTCAGTCAGATCAGTGTCACAAAGTAGGTGCTTAATAAATAATTGGTTGCATGCCAAATGAATAGTAGAGTCCTGGTAACAACAGTGTCCCTGTGGGGCCTGGGCTCTTCCCAGAAGTGGCAGGCCCAGCTTCTCCACAGTACATCAGCTAGAGGGAGTTTGCTTTTGCTTTTTTTTGCTTTTTTTTTAAATTTCAGCTTCAGAATGAATAGAGCATGCTGCCTAAACCTTACTTGTTTTTCTCTTCTCTCTTTATTCAGCTGAAGCTTGCTTTCACTCTGGACTATGAGACTGGATTGCCTCAAGGGTGTCACATCTATGAGTACCGCGACAGCAACAAGTAAGCCACTCAGTGGGAAAGGGAGTCACTTCACCATGTCCAGCAAGGGTAGCACCTGTGGGCTTTCTTATACCAGGCTTCTCCTACAAAGGGATTGTCAGGGAGAGAATCACACTTTTCACGACTGAACTAGAAAATAGGTGGCAGGAAAATATTTCTCCTTTTGCCTCTAAACAGAGAACTTGAAGTGCTTGTATACGAGCAGCTGTGATGTTTGACTTGTGTGTCCCGAAGCAGACCTTCCTTTCCAGGCTCCAGCTGTTCTCCAGACCCACCCTGCTTTATCTCTAGCCATGTGCCTGCTAATTTGGTTCACTGTGTGACTTTGGCTTTCTTTGACATTGTCTGATTATACTTATGTTTGCAGGTTTTGTTGTAAGTGTCTACCTCGTGAATTTTGTAGTTGGGGATTTCTAGAGATTTAACCTGGTGGCCTTATCAGAAGGGTGGCAGACTGATCCGTGACTGTGCGTTTCTGTCTATGAGACAGTAGAAGTGGTGGTGAGTGAGGCAAAGGGAATATGCCCCTATAATGACAGTGACTATGATGGTAAATAAGACAGCAGCCACCATTGAGAAAATCTGCTGGGGGTTAGGACAGTACTAGAACATTACACTTGCTATCCAGTTTAATCCTCATAACAATCTGAAGACTTTTCTTTTACCATAGGTCCTGCCAAAGCGAGCACTTGAGTTTCCTTTTGTTATTGTTGTATTTGCAGAAGCTGGAGTCAAGGGCACTTGCTCACGGTCATTGGCCACAGCTGTTTGAGGCAGAGTCACATTATCATGTTTACTCTGAGGAGAGAATAGACAACCTGTTGTCCCAAGTTGCTATGTTGGAAACTCCAGTCAGTGATAAGAACAGCCTCAATATGGACTTGAGGACAATATGCCCTGGTCTGAATGTTTAAATATCCAAGCTATTAATTTTATGCAGTGAAAGGAATCAAATAGTCATACTCCAGTGGGACTGTACATTGTCTTCCAAAGGGAAACCCGTGTCTTCCTCAGAGCTCTTGCTTTATTATGCGTTGAGATGGTTCCTGGTTCTTCATGATCAAATCTCCTCTCATGTTGCTTTCAAGGTATCATTACCCTTTGTAATTTATGTTTAGGAGGTTGGATGCCCTGGTGAGCTATTGTGTACCCTCGGTTCCCACCAAGTTAATCATTTAGGAAAGGCTGACCATGCATCCTTAACACCATCCTTCCTCCTCTTGGATGGCACTATATAAGCCATGGTGTTGGAATTACCATCTCAGCTTCTTGCAGTGCTTAATTCAACAGAGAAATAGGGCTGGATTTCTTTGGAGTCCAGGGACTAGCAGGGGACAATTGAGCAAGTCTCTGGGTGATAAGGGCAAGCATCACGTGGGAAGAGGAGAAACAAAGTCTCAAGCTGGTTGGCATGCCATTCTGTTACCCTGCTTATCGATGCCACCTCATACTCCCTGCACTTGCTGGATGGCAGTGGATGGCAGCCCCATACATGGAGATTGTGGCAGCAGAAACAGATCTTTATGCCCAGGAGTGTTTACAGACTCCATTTCTGGCCTCACTCTTCACTCCCTGAAACAAAGGTTGGCAGGGTTTTGGTTCAGTGGGAGAAGGGCATTGGCCCTCTTTCCTATAAATTCATATGGTCCAATGATAACAACTTAGGTTGTCTTTGAAGCTGAGAGGAGAAAATAGCCTACCTCTGTTTCTTGGTCCAACCCCTAGCTCCTGAACCTCGTAGTTCAGATCACATATGTATCAGCGAAAGCGATGTTTAGGAGGAGAATTTCAGGGTTCTAAATATAAGTACGCTTTGGCCCCCAAACACCTGTAAAATAAAATATTTGTGTGGGAAGCTGGATAGGAAATTATGTGATCCAGTGCCTCAATGGCCCCTCCTTATGGTTCTGTCTTGCCTGTCTTAGAGGCAACCTTGAGGTTGCCTCCTGCATGCCCCAAATCAGGGGTTCATTCTCAAATTGTGGACAAATTTCCTAACCTCTCTGAGCCTCAGGTTTCTTCATTTGTTAAGGTCAGCGGGACTAAGGATACCTATCTGGCATGATTATCATGGGATTGAGTAGGAAGACGTGTTAAAAACATCACTGACTTAGTATATAGAATGCCCAGAGTGTTGATTGCCTCTCCTTCCCAGAGAAGTCATCTCATGTATTCTGTTCTGTTTTCCCCTGCCAGCAGGGCTATGTCTATGAGTGCTGGATGCAACTAACCCCCTTGATTCGGAAGGAAGCTGGTTCCCACGCCTCTGATAGCCCTCAGCTGTGTGTGATACACTCTGTTCAAAGGCAAACTCCTTTTCCCACTTGGAAATTGTGAAGTGAAGCATGGAGAACCCCATGAGCTTGATCATGATTTTTTCATTTCTCCCAGGTTCTGCCCTATGTTCCTCTGTTCATGGTCATGGTCATTTCCCCAGGAGTGCCTGAATCCCAATATTGGTGTAATAGTCATGTTTATGAAATGAGGATATTCACTCTGGCCCTAAGGAACCAAATGACATGAAGGCGGCAGCAGCAGCAGAGAGATGAGGGTCTACATGTGAAAGAAATTAGTTTGATATCGCAGAATTAGTTTGTAATAATTAATTATTCAAACCACTACTTGTTTTGTTCATTTCAGTACTCTTAGTGACTAGCCCAAGACCTGACAAATAATACTTTTTTTTAAGCTTAAGACTAGCTTTATTGTGATACTCTTTTCTTTTCTCTCTTCTTCTTCTTTTTTTTTTTAATCCTCATCTAAGAATATTTTTTTCCATTGATTTTCCAGAGAGAGTGGAAAGGAGAGAGAGACAGAGAGAAACACCTGTGTGAGAGAGACACATCATTTGGTTGCCTCCTACATGCCCCAAACCAGGGTCAGGAGCCTGCAACTGAGGTACATGCCCTTGACTGGAATCGAACTTGGGACCCTTCAGTCCGTAGGCTGATGCTCTATCCATTGAACCAAACCAGCTACAGCTGGCAAATAATTTTTGATAAAGGGATGGGAAGACCGGGTTTAATCTTTTCAGAGAGAACCTAACTACTGGGCAGTTAGGTTCTTTGTCTTTTCCTTTATTGTAGGATTATGATAAGGATTAAATTACTCATGACATGAGGGCAAATTACCTATTTGGATAGTTTATGGATTCTAAAGAACTAACATGTAGAAAAAATAAGCTATAAAATTTAATTTAACTCTGTGAATATAGAAGTAATTATAGTTATCAGTATTTATAACTGCCTACCATTTTTTGCCTGATATTAAAGCATAGTAATACTGCTATGTTTCACTATCATTTTGTCTGGTGCATTGAATACACGAGACAAAATTGCACAAGCCAAATTTGTTTGCAAGGTTACATTTTGTTCTCAGTCTCTCAAGTTTCTGACCTATGGAGCATAAGAATGATAGGATTGCCCTAGCTGGTTTGGCTCAGTGGATAGAGCATTGGCCTGCGGACTCAAGGGTCCCAGGTTCAATTCTGGTCAAGGGCGTGTACCTCGGTTGCAGGCTCCCCCGGGCCTGGGCCCTGGTCAGGGCACATGCGGGAGGCAACCAAACCAATCAATGTGTTTCTCTCATATTAATGTATCTGCCTTTCCCTCTCCCTTCCGCTCTCCCTAAAAATTAATGGAAAAATATCATTGGGTGAGGATTTGAAAAGAAAAAAGAAGAAGAACAGCTCACTAGCACTGGGCTACAGGCTTCACCATTTATCTCTATTTTCAAAACCACTCAAGACAGACTAACTGCCACAGTTTTACAGATTACAAACCAGAATCAGAGAGGTTAACCTGCCCAAGGTCATATTGTGGTCAAGAGCCGAACCTGAACTTTATCCTGGCTATAACAGATTCCAAAGCCCGTGTCACCTGCCTTTCTCTCCACAGCTTAGAGAGCAAGGGAGCTCTGGTGCTAGCCTCTGCTAGGCTGACCTTCACTAGAAGCCCCTTGTCTGGAAACTCGGGGATTTCTAATCCCTGCAGACCTCTGGGTGGGTAGACTGCCTGGTCTGGTAGAATGAGTCTCGATTTGAAATTGTAAACCTGAGTCTGGCCAGTCACTCTCTGTGGCAGGTCATTGTCCACTCCGTGATGTAGCCTACCCATCAGAAACATAAAGGTGATGTCACATCTCAAGGTTGAGGGGAGAATGCAACGATGTGATGTGCGATGTGACTGTGTAAACTGGTGCTTGCCCTTGTACCTACCTGAGTGGACAGTGCACTGTGCCTCGTCCTGGTCCAGAGACTCCCTGACACCCACAACCTGCTCCCCACCTCATTCTTACTCTTGGGTGGGTGAGTTTTCTAAACAGATGGAACTAAATATTCTGTTTGTCTCACCAGATGATTCATCTTGGCATCTCTGTATCATCAGAGCTAATAGCCCACTTCTAGAGGTATCAGAGAGAGAGCTTCCAATGGGACTGATTGTCCTTAGCTGAGGAGCCTCCACCTTCCTATACCCACACTGAAGCACAGTATCCCTGCAGCCTTCCAGAGCACAGGGCAGTTCTGCTCTCACCTCTGTCCTCTCCTCTGCCCAGCCCGAGGTCACTTTGTAGTTCAGATCACTGGCTTTTCTGGCGGTATCCAGGTGAGGCAGGGCTCTGGGCCCCTGCAAGCCCACCTAAACTCTTTCCTCCAGCCCCTAATCACATAGTCAACCCTTTCTGGACTTGAGGGATTCTCATGTGCTGGCCTGCCTTGGGCCTGGCCTGCTCAGCCTGCCCGCAGTTGGAGGACACTCTCTGTGCAGGCAGGGCAGACCCAGAAGACAAAGCTCAGGGTCACACTGAGAGTCTCCTTCTGTTGTTTTGTTCTCATCATGGAGGCCATGCTGGGTCAGGTCAGGTGCACTTACAAGCAGACTTCCAGACAGGATTAATGTGCAGGAGACGTATGGGGGATGAAGGGAGTGGTGGGAGGCTGCAGACAGTGGCATCAGCCTGCCCCTGTGAAAGAGGAGGGCAGGGAAAGGAAAGCTGGTGGG